CTATCAGCAGCTTCCTAGCTGCTGATAGATCTTCAACACGAGTACACAGAGTACACAGCAGCAACACGAGTACACAGAGTACACAACAAAGGCAGCAAGGCAAGGCGACGCCCTATAAACAGCTGCACAAGTACTAAGATTAATAATAGAAGAACGTTTATTGCTCGAACTCTTCGACTCTGGTCTTAAAAACCACATATATGGTGGACCTAATGCATAGACAACAGTAACAAAACTATCAACAACTGCCTCCATGGCAACAATAACACCTGCAAGAACAATATCAGTTGCAACAACAAAAGTAGTTGCAATATCAGCTGCAACAGCAACAGATGCAACAGGAACCAAAGCAGAAGCAGGAGGGAGCGGGTGGAGCCACGCCCGTCACCCTGCGAGCTGTTTACATCCAACGTCACCAATGGTTTTATCTTCCCGGGGCGGGAAATGTGATGCTGCGAGGCAGCAGTGTGGAAGGGAGCGTTGGCGAGGCCCCAAGTTCCTCCCATTATCAGGGACAGGAAGCCTGGTAGGCTTATCCAGGTCCTCGTAGATAACCTCTAGCCAGCCATCAGGGTGTGACCCGCTAATTTACTGGTACGTATTGACTGCTGGGCGAACAGAGGGGTAAGAAAACGGCATCGGGTCCCAGGACGCGAGCCCAAATGGCCTCACCCTGCCCGGGCACCAAGTCTACTAGCAATCAATTGCTTGTCGTGTCCACTACTTAATGCTCTTCAAGAATCTGCTGAATAGGGGAAATAAATATTATTGTGAAAAATGTGCATGCGAATGAATAAACATGTGAAGAAACCTGTGAATGAAGAAGGCAGCAGAGGGGACTCGTGGAGACGTGACAGGGCTGAAGTAACTGTGACGAAGTCGCCGCTGGCTTCGGTTATGAGGTACGACGGTGGCTCTTGTATTTTAAGAGTTGGGGGAGGTAGAGATGAGGGGACTGGTGGAGAGATGAGAGGGAGAGAGGCGGAGGTGAGGGGAGGGGAGGGAAGGGGGGGGAGAGGAACATGACCTGCTCGCCTGTGTGTATGTCTAACTTCTCAGCCATCACTCGTCTGATACAAAGACTCGAATCTTTTATTTCCACTTTCCTTTCATGTTATAACAGTCTGCGTGATACAGTTGTCGTCGTGTGCTATATTACCAACTCGTCCTCAACAAGTATATACGTCCTGAATATTACATTTTAAAATGAAATTATTTAGTACAAAAGCGAACTTAAAAATTAAACTATTTTCGTTTCAATGTCCACTTTAAAATTTTCAAATTGTTATTTGCAGTGTTTATTTTGGGTAAGTTCTTCTTTCTGCTCAAAGGGTTTGTCTCAGACCAGATTTTCCAATACTGTGTTGAGGTAAATACAGAAGGGAGGTGGGCGTGGGAGGGTGGCGTGGGAGGTGGGCATGGGAGGTGGGCGAGGGAGGTGGGCGTGGGCGCGGGAGGTGGGCGCGGGAGGTGGGCGAGGGAGGTGGGCGTGGGCGTGGGAGGTGGGCGTGGGAGGGGGGCGATGGAAGTGGGGCGCGGGGGGTGGGCGTAGGAGGGGGCGTAGGAGGTGGGCGTGGGTGGTGGGCGTGGGAGGTATGTACACACGTAATATGTAGGAAGACTTGCTGGCAGCGGCGCAACTTTTCAAACTAAGTGTCTAAAAAAGAAGTAAGGTAATAATAGCCATAATGGGTCTGTTCCCTCAATGATTGAAAGTTTATCTTAATGACAATAATAAGTTCAATGTTGACAATAACATCAACACAAGTGAACTTATTAATAAATAACACCCAAATAATAAAACTAAAAATAATAACAACAACAATAATAATAATATAAATAAATGCCAGTTGTCAAGTTCAAAAACTTTATTAATAATGTTTTAATGTTAACACATTAAAAGTGTGTTAGTTTCCACAAAATTACGTGTCATTATCTACCATAATAACGACACAACGCGGAATTGTTCATAGATTACGACACGGTGTTCAGTACGCATGTACAAGAGTGCTCAGAGGGCAGATATGTATAAGAGTGCTCAGAGGGCAGATATGTACAAGAGTGCTCAGTTGGTAGGTGCATATGTACAAGAGTGCTCGCTAAGAGTGTACATACAAGTTGGTAAAGCAATATAATACAGCATGTGATCAAACTTGCCTTAGCTTAGTCATAATGATATGGACAAATTGACCTTCATATAGACAGGCAAGGTTTAGGCTAGGCCCAAAATGTAAATTGATTAGTCGACCTTCCGTGGTTTATCTAACTCGACCTGTTCCTACCATTACAGGGAGGCGAGAGCCTTTCCTGTTGGCGGAGCACACGCAGTTCTTGGTGGCGTAGTTGTGTCTGCGGTTGATGGTGGTGGCGAGGGAGCGAATCTCAGTACGGAAGTCCTGACGCTGTCGCCTCACCTCTGCCATCAGAGCGCGGATCTCCTTCAGGAGCGTGGAGTACTCCTGGCGAGACTCCTCCTCCCTGGCCTCTGCCGCCATGTTGGAGACACTGGCTGCGGCCACAGGGTGTTACTAGCATGGTGGCTACCCCCCACACCCCCCTGGGACACTCGCTTTATTATCCATATTAACCAATACATCGCATCATAATTCAAGAAGCACATGTTGATAAAGATAATGTACACGACACATGAAGCTAACCTGATTTGATGAGCTTTTTCTTGTTGCGGCGACTTCGCTTGGGTGCGGCGTGACTGTTGCGGCGAGCGTCGTCGCTTGCGGCGGCGGCGTCTCCACCAGCCTCTGCGATGCAACACTCACCTCTGAACCTCACCCTGTGGCCCACGGACGACGAGCGTACTTTTCGTCCGTCTTGGGATCGCAAGACGGAAGTAAGCAGCTGTTCCTCCGGGATGCCGCTTGTCTCCGAACTGTTCTCTTCGTGAATGGAGTCTACAGACGGCGACGACACAACTCCCGAACCTTGAAAATACTTGAGTTTCTGAGTGCCGTCTGTTTCTCCGTCAGACTCTCTTTCCACATTTCCGCCGCCGTTAGCAGAAGGATCGCCTGGTGCAGTCTCTTGCGACTCCGGAGTTTCTTCTGAATTTTGGACAAATATCTGGAGTTCGATGTCTAAGTTATTAGCCTGAGGAACAGGGTCAGGGCTCGGGGATAAGTTACCTCCATTTGTTAATGGCTCTGGTAACTCGTTTCCTTTCTCCGCTAGTGACTCTATTGACTCACCAGCACCTGCTGACTCTATTGGTGGCGTTGACACCGAGTTATCCTCACTACGGACGCTGAGCTGCGACCTCCTGCCGCTGCTTGGATAGGTGGCGCGGCCTCCGTCACCACTACCTAGGCGCCTTTCAGTAATATCATCTGGTGTTAGAAGGTCCACCTCGTGCTTCACTGAGGCTCTGCTCTCACTCCTGAGTGACCTTCCTATACCACTCCTCAGCGACAGATTGTCTTCCTCCCAATTTGTATTATTTGGTTCTGCGAATGAGACGACAATTGCACCTTCCGTCGTGACGGGCGGCCCTGTCTCTATCGTGACAGCTTCCCGCCAGTTGTCCGACAAGGCCTCCTGGCTCTGTGGGTGTCGGTCCTCCCAGGTACTGGTGCTGGGTAGTGTGGGATGTATGTCACACTCGGACTCGGACAGTCCTGTGGTCTTCGGGGAGGCAGAGAGGACCCTCACGGAGGCCGGTGACCCACCGAGGGAGCCGATTCCGTCGTCGGTGTTGCCCGCATCGAGAGTGTCAGCCCCTGGAAAGTGGACCTTAGTGGCGGACCCTTTGCCAAGGCCTTGCAAATCCTCGTCGACGTCTCTGAGGCGAGTGTGGCGGCTGATAGCACTAATGATGTCCGACCTCACCGACTTGGCACTGGAAGTCATCACGCCCCTCACCTACATCCTCTGTCGTTCCCATATTAAGGAAGTTTACAGTTGATAAAAAAAAAGAATTAACTTTTGTCGTCACATAGAGATGTAATATTATCAGTATAAAATGTATAGTTTTGTATGCCGGGCCGTGGGAGGTGTGTGCGTGAGGCCGAGCGTTGCAAGGCTCCCGCTCGGGAAGCACATTACCGCATGCAACACCACACGCCCACCTGCAGTGATACCATCTTAACTACCTCTTTCATATTATACACAACTCTGTACTGAGGCTCCTCCTCTAGTTATTGTTCATTATAACTCCCCCCGTCCTTCTAGCCCTGAGCCGGGCCGCGAGGGGGGGGAAGATCCTCACTGATAGTGCGAGGTCAACAGTGTAACGCAGCTGTCCCTAGACGCTTACAAGCACATTACACGATAGACTCAAGGCCGCCTTCGTATCTTCCATCAGCGATATTGATCACTGTTTCATCCTCCTGCCTCACTATTATAGTTTATCCAGGTCACTGGTAAGCAGACAGTTGCTGTCGCCAGCAGGAGGGAGCGACAAGCAGGCAGGTACGATGCCGCCGCCCCTACCACTAGCACCGCGCCACGGAGCCGACGCTGCCCACCTCCACCACGCACGCTCCCAGTTATACGCACCCGACGCCCCTCCACCTGTGGCTCAGTTAATCACACCAAGCTGACCTCTGACATACAGTTTTAAGTGCTTATTTCGGGAGGTGAGACGATTGTAATGGCTAGCGTTGTCTTACCGGAGGCTGAGTTGTATACTGACCCGCTGTTATATAACGAGCGCTTGGTCTACATAATTCCTGCTTCCTCGCCCACCCCTACATTATATCCCCTCCCCCTTGTTCTATTCTAGTACTTATATTGCTCTGTCTTGTAAATCACCACACTCTCATCATCTACATCATCACTCGACTCGACCTCCTACCTCTACACCTCACACACCACCACCTGACCTTCTACACCACCACCTGACCTTCTACACCACCACCTGACCTTCACACCACCACCTGACCTTCTACACCACCACCTGACCTTCTACACCACCACCTGACCTTCTACACCACCAACTGACCTTCTACACCACCACCTGACCTTCTACACCACCATCACACCACCACCTGACCTTCTACACCACCAACTGACCTTCTACACCACCACCTGACCTTCTACACCACCATCACACCACCACCTGACCTGCACCACTATGAAATGCTTACGCGGAGCTCTAAGTTAGAGATAATCCAGAGATGTGTCAACAGACTAATCTCAGAACTGAGTGGTATGACTTACGAGGAAAACTAATGAAACTAAATCCCGCGTCACTGGAAGACAGAATGGTTAGAGGGGAAATGACTTTTATATACAAAATGTTCATATGAATTGATAGGATAAACATTGACAAACTATTTGGGTTCATTAGGGGTACACGATCAAGGGGACAAAGGTGGGAAATAAGTACCCAAATGAGCCACAGAGACATTAGAAATATTTTGTTGTCAGAACAGTGAAAAGATAGAATGCATTAGGAAGTGAAGTGGAGGAGACAGACTCCATACACAGCTTCAAGGGTAAATATGATAAGGGTCCAATAGGGTTAAGAAGCTATATACCAATCGATTGAAAATTGAGATGCGGGACCAAAAATCCGAAGCACAATTAGTTAGGAACTTTCTGACCTTTCATACCACATCATAACATTCTATACCACCACAACACCACTATGTAACCTTAAGTGCTTCCACTCTACACAATCTCGCTTCCCCTACCACACGCACGCCACTATCTGAGCATAAACTCCACTACCTGAATTTTAGACAATGGTGTGATGCAGTACATGACGAGTGCTTCACTTAGTCAGTTTCTTAAACGCCTTTGGATCTGAATCAGTCGGTTAAACACCGCTGGGTCTGGCCAGTATAACTGAATGGGTGACTGTACACTCTCGCACTTCGCCAGGGGACCCTACATAATCCTAACATGCTACCTGTCTGTAAGAATGGTAACAGTGTATGAGCACCACTTCTCACTACTACACACTACTTCCCCCCTCTGTTCACAATACAATACTCATCACTCGGGTACATATGGGTACTTAAAAGCCGCTGCATTTTACAGGCTGTTAGTGTATTATAGAGAGAGGCGGGTAGAATGTTTAAGAAGAGGCGGGTCCTTCTAAACGTCGCCGGCCTCATGCCCCGTCGAGGCCACTATAGATAGTGGCTTTTAGGTAAATTCAGATGTGTTGCTTCATGTGTTGTGAACTCAACTTGATGCAGTCACTTAGATGTCCTTGCAGGGCCGAGCGTCAGCTCCTAAATCCCGCCTTTTGTATCATTTGTAATTCAATCCTCCCGTGAGGAAACGTTCTTGGATGTTAGAACATGTGGGGCTCTGGAACACAATTTGTACCTCAGTACAATTCGGTAAGAACGAACACACACACACACACACACACACACACACACACACACACACACACACACACACACACACACACACACACACACACACACACACACACACACACACACACAGAACAGTCTTCAGGAACCTTTAAATAAGACATTCAGACCACAAACACCTGTCTGACACCAATTCGCAGCCTCCACATAGAATACTCTCCTCAAAAGCACACAGGAGAACTTAACAGGGTACGATGGATTGCAATGAGGCTCGTTCCAGATGTACCTGAGATGGGGTATAACTGTTGAAGGAGTTCGTCCAAACGATGTTAGAAAAGAGAAGAGAGAGAGAGAAGACATGATATAAGGGGAACTGACGGTTTAGAAGGAAAGGTTTACAATGAATAAGAACAGAACAAGAGACGAAGAATGATAGATAAACCACAGGAATGCGAGAAAATACTTCTCTGTAATAATACGACAATTTCAGGTGGTAGCAGGCAGCGCCATTCCACATACATAAAATTAGGGTCTAGATAAGATAGGTGGAGTATACGCAAGACTGGCAAATGTGTAAATGACGTTGCGAGGGGCAAGGACTGGCTGAGAGCACTCTACTCCACAGTGGGTGGCACCAGCTTACAATACCTCCCTGGACAACCATAAACTAAGTCCAGAAAGTCCAAATGCTTTTTATACGACTGGCTAATTAATAAGACACTTTAGAGCTTTAGTGGGAGCCGGTCGGCCGAGCGGACAGCACGTTGGACTTGTGATCCTGTGGTCCTGGGTTCGATCCCAGGCGCCGGCGAGAAACAATGGGCAGAGTTTCTTTCACCCTATGCCCCTGTTACCTAGCAGTAAATAGGTACCTGGGTGTTAGTCAGCTGTCACGGGCTGCTTCCTGGGGGTGGAGGCCTGGTCGAGGACCGAGCCGCGGGGACACTAAAGCCCCGAAATCATCTCAAAATAACCTCAAGAGAGACGTATTAGAAGAGATTTAACGGCAACATTCAAGATAATCAGTTACGGGCTCACTATAGCCCGTGCTACATGGACAGGCCGTTCTGAGTAGCTAAATCTAAAACTACAACAAAGAAAATCAGACATAGCCGAGGTGGACAAGGATACACCGTATATCACAGGTGTGGTCAGGAGCAGAGGTCACTCAGATGAGCGAGTGTTGCACGTAGTAGAGTAGGGAAGGTTAACTCCAACACGCAGGACTAGTTGAGAGGTCGTGGGCCAGTGTTGGTACGGGAGCTGACAAAGAGTGGCCCCGCAGGACCCCCGCTCCAGTATGGATCCCGCGGCGCCCCCCACTAATACCAACCCCGCGATAAGACATGTCTTGCACGCGACTCTGAGGGACGGTAATTTTGTGGCAAGGCGCGAGGATTCCCGGGAACGGCGTAATGTGTGACGAAATGAAAGAGAAACAAATTTCGGAGTAAATGTAATTCCACATTCCACAGTCAGCCATAAACCTGACACCGGAGGCACACACAAACTGAGTAACATCGGCAGCATACTGTGTGGGACGCTGATAAACATTAGTACATCGCTTATAATCCTACATCAGGACGCTTTCCTGTCAATCGACACATGTTAGACCAATACTGGAATATTCAGCACCGGCCTGGAACCCATACTGTGTGAAGCATATAACCATAATTGAAATATACGGATATTTGCACCAAGATCAGTGCCAGAGCTAAGAAGACTAAGGTGTGAGGATAGATTATGGGAACAAGTCCTCACAACCCTTTAGGTGAGAAGAAACAATGAGGACATGATCACAGCATACGAGATCATGAGGGCAATAGACAAGGTTGACAAAAACATCCTTTTTAAATTGAGAGAAAGGAAAACGAGAGCATTTAAGTGAAAAAAAAACGTAGATGAAACTAGGAAATGCAAAGCAATTCTATAACCTGTACTGGTGGTCAACAAGTGGAATGCACTGAAAGAAGCTGTGGAAGCCACCTCCATCTTTAAGGCCAGATTCGACAAAGAATTCCAACGTTGGAACAGATAAATAATAACGCAACAGGTACAACAAGGCTGTTTATATAAAGAGTCACACCTCACTTTTCCGTCTTCAGTGATAGGTAAGTACCGCTAAAAACATACATGACAGCTGGGACCAATATATGGCACCTTCACTCAGCACGGTGTCCGCGATGACTACAGTCCACCACACAACCCTCAGTGTCTTGTGTATAGTAGAGAGAGAGAGAGAGAGAGAGAGAGAGAGAGAGAGAGAGAGAGAGAGAGAGAGAGAGAGAGAGAGAGAGAGAGAGAGAGAGAGAGAGAGAGAGAGAGAGAGAGATAAGGGGGGGGGGAGGGGAGGAAGGAAGGGGGACGTAACATACAAGTGCTGAAGGGGGCACTAGAGAGGGGGGCAGAAGTTATTCCAGTGCTTCACTTTCCCACTGACGGAAGGGGAGTGTAGCGAGGGAGGCGGGCGAGCGCTCACTACCGGCCAGGAAAGAAGGGAGAGTGGAGACATCAGGAGCAGCTATCTTGAGATGATTATCTTGAGATGATTTCGGGGCTTTAGTGTCCCCGCGGCCCGGTCCTCGACCAGGCCTCCAGCCCGTGACAGCTGACTAACTCCCAGGTACCTATTTACTGCTAGGTAACAGGATCATCAGGGTGAAAGAAACTCTGCCCATTGTTTCTCCCCGGCGCCCGGGACCAATCTCGGGACCGAACTCGGGACCGAACCCGGGACCAGAGGATCACGCGTCCAGTGTTCTGTCCGCTCAGCCGCCGGCTCCCTGGCGGAAGGAAGATTGAAGAAGAGTGTACCAAAAAAAATTTTGTATATTCAATAATTTATGGAAAAATATATTGCAGTTTGTTATTTCTCTACGATATGTTATGCGCAGTACAGGAAAGCCAGGATGCGCGGGAAACGTTGCCCTTTACGTCAGACGCCTTAGACACACACCAGCCACGGCTCCTAACAACACAGAGCATTCATTTTACACTGACGTGCGTTAAATGCATTTGTAGTGTTGGTGGGGGGGATAAAACACTTAGTGTTATTATATGTGCGTGGGTTTATGTCGTTTGGACGCTCCTCCATCAAGGTTAAGTGTTCTAATGTGGCATTTAAGTGATCGGAGATCACTTATGTCAGCTAGACAAAGATGAACTATATATTCTTCTGCAATTTCGATAGTGTGGGCATGAAGGAAGATAATTGTAGGATTAGGGAGGGAGATAAGAAGGAAAATCTGGGCAGAGATGGAGGGAGGGAGGGATAAGGTGGACAGGAAGGAACTTCGGCCACAGGATAAGAGAATAAGAATGGATGGAAGGAAAATCCAGCCCTTCGTTGGACTGATAGAAAATCTGTGCGTTGAGATAGAGAGAGAAAGTGTAAGCATAAAGAAAGGGGAGGGGAAGGTAAGTAGTAAGCGGAAGAGGAAGAGAGGTGTAGGAAAGACAGGTATAGTATGGATGGACAAGGGGTGAGAAGAAATGAAAGAAGGGTACTGAGAGAGAGTGAGGGGTCGAGGCAGCCAGGGTCCGCCGAGCTGGCAGTAGTGGACCCTTCCCGGAACTGTGATGAATGGTGGTCTTCCCTGCCACACTGCCAGGAGAAAGAGAGAGAGAGAGAGAGAGAGAGAGAGAGAGAGAGAGAGAGAGAGAGAGAGAGAGAGAGAGAGAGAGAGAGAGAGAGAGAGAGAGAGAGAGAGAGAGAGAGAGAGAGAGAGAGAGAGAGAGAGAGAGTGAGAGAGAGAGAGAGAGAGTGAGAGAGTGAGAGAGTGAGTGAGTGAGTGAGTGAGAGAGTGAGAGAGTGAGAGAGTGAGAGAGTGAGAGAGTGAGAGAGTGAGTGAGTGAGTGAGTGAGTGAGTGAGTGAGTGAGTGAGTGAGTGAGTGAGTGAGTGAGTGAGTGAGTGAGAGAGAGAAAGAGAGAGAGAGAGAGAGAGAGAGAGAGAGAGAGAGAGAGAGAGAGAGAGAGAGAGAGAGAGAGAGAGAGTGAGTGAGTGAGTGAGTGAGAGTGAGTGAGTGAGTGAGTGAGTGAGTGAGTGAGTGAGTGAGTGAGTGAGTGAGTGAGTGAGTGAGTGAGAGTGTGAGAGTGTGAGAGTGTGAGAGTGTGAGAGTGTGAGAGTGTGAGAGCGTGAGAGCGTGTGAGTGAGTGTGAGTGAGTGTGAGTGAGTGTGAGAGAATGTGAGTGTGAGAGAAAGTGAGAGTGTGTGAGAGAGAGTGAATGAGTGGGAGTGCCTACCAATTTTTAACTTCTATCATTGTATCCATAAAGAGGAAAATCATAAACAAACTAGCCTGTCTGTCTGTCTGTCCGGGCGAGGTAGGAGACGAGACGCTCGGGGGTCAGAGTACAGACCCTCCCTACACCACATTATTTAGACCTAATAAGAGTAAACACGCCACAACCCCACCATCATCTGCCTTAGGCTTGGTCACCCCAACCACTTGAACTGGACGGTAGAGCGACGGTCTCGCTTCATGCAGGTCGGTGTTCAATCCCCTACCGTGCATGTGCTTGGGCACCATTCCTTCCCACCGTCCCATCCCAAATCCTAATCCCGACCCTCTTCCAAGTGCTATATAGTCGTAATGGCGTAGTGCTTTCTCCTGATAATTCCCTTCCCTTCCCTGCCTTAGGCTTACTAAAGCCAATATTCGGGTCATAAACACTCATCCACCGTATAAATTAGACTGAAAGAGTAACCCTTAGTTGGTCAGCCTGAATCTTATAGCACCAGAGGTGGAATATCACCCCCTCCCCCACCCCTTTTTTGGAGTAAAAAAATTGACTCCATAGGCAGTCGCCTGACTTTCATGTGTATTGAGCAAGGGCACAATACACAATTGCCTTGCAATCCTTCACTCATCCTAAGGTCAAGTTCGTCCAAGGTGCGACCGACCCCCTCCCCAAAGATACATTCATAAGTTGTAATGTACTGTTTAATAAAAAACTATATTATCTCAAACATAAATTAATATTATCACGTAAAGCCTAGAGATTATGTTGGATGTTTTGGTGTCCTTGGCAATTATCTGTATTTACAGGACGTGCGTGAAGAAAAGAAGAATTTAGAGAGAGAGTTATTATCCAGACTGTGATTAGCGCAGTCGGGTTCGATTCCCTTGCTGGACGTTCCAGCAGGTTTCCTTACACCTCATGCTTCTATAAGTGTTATGATTTTGACCCGAAGGGCGAGTTTATTGGTTAGCGTCACTCATAATGTGAGTGAACATACCGACGGTATTAGTTAGCGTCACTCATCCTGTGAGTGAACCTACCAACGGTAGTGGGCAACGTCACTCATTTTGTGAGTGAACATACCGCCATAGTAACAGTATTGGGCAGTGCCACTCATCCTGTGAGTGAACATACCGCCATAGTAACAGTATTGGGCAGTGCCACTCATCCTGTAAGTGAACACATCGCCATAGCAACATGTACAACACGCCCCAATAGAAAGAAAACCCGCTGGGTTATTCATCCTGTCACTTGTACCCAGACGCAGCTGGGATTTGCTTGTCTCACGTGAACAGTTTATCAAACAAGAAGATTAACATTTACCAACCCTAAACTTACGTTCTCTTGCGAGTGCAAAGTGCGGGAATTTGTTAAGAACAGTATTTATATTTGACAAATAGTGTTTTCCTAACTCGAACAATGGGAAGATCATTCATCTAGCAGCATAAATAGGTACTTGGGAGTTAGGCGAATCATGTGTGTTAGATCTTGGAGGTCAGTCATCGTGAAGGCCCCGAGGGGGAGCGAGATTAGTCACGTCTTGCTGTCTTCAAAAGGATGTGAGGGAAAAGTATTATAGTATAAATACAGTTATGTGGGGTCCAGGACCTGGCGAACAGCCATGGAAACTTCATGGCCGTACTGCTTGAACAGCATGCACGCACGCACGCAGACACACACACACACACACACACACACACACACACACACACACACACACACACACACACACACACACACACACACACCACACACACACACACACACACACACACACACACACACACACACACACACACACACACACACACACACACACACACACACACACACACACACACACACCACACACACACACACACACACACACACACACACACACACACACACACACACACACACACACACACACACACACACACACACGCGCACACACACACACACACACACACACACCACACACACACACACACACACACACACACACACACACACACACACACACACACACACACACACACACACTGCACCAGTGAGGCAACCAGGCCGGCAGACCTCCATGACAACCAAGTGCAGTACTGGTATGGCAGAAGTCTAAGAAACTTTAGGCTTCCTGAAGTGTAGGAGGGCCAGCAGCTTCCTCCATGTAGCAGAGCTACAACAACACTGTCTCAACACCAACATCACCTCAGCATCAGAACTGCCTCGCCCGTAACAGTTTCTACAATACATCGTAAACCTGACCACGAAATAAACTTCTCCTAGAACGGTTTCAATTAGAAGCGCATCTGCGGCCAAGACTAGGTAGGTATTTTTTCTTAAAGGGAATTAATTGATAGTGGTTTCCAGACAGTAGAAAGGGGCGTGACCATAGCCGGTCGGAGACATTGCCTCCACATTGGCGCCAGTCTGCCTGCTGCAGGGAGGTGCTGGAGGGTGCGTCCTCCTCTCTCAGATCCCTTCTTCTTGTCCTCTCTCTGTTCCCCTCATCCCCCTCCTCTCTACATTCCCTCTCCCCTCATCCCCCTCCTCTCTACACTCCCTCTCCCCCTCATCTTCATCTCCTTCTCTGTCTTTCCTGATAACTTGGGAACACTTTAATATATTAGTGCTGTCCCTCGTGTCATGGTCGCTGGCTGGTTCTTGTAGTATATGGCCTAGTTGTTGTTGCCTAGCTGCGGAGACTGACCTCTAGTTCCTGGATCCCGCCATTATGGTCGTAGGCTGTGGTGCAATGACTTCCATCCCTCTTGACTTATTTACCTCTGCGCGCGTGTGTGTGTGTTCTCACCTAATTGCTCACCTAATTGTGCCTGCGGGGGGGTTGAGCTCTGGCTCTTTGGTCCCGCCTCTCAACCGTCAATCAACTGATATACAGATTTCTGAGCCTACTGGGTTCTGTCATATCTACATTTGAAACTGTGTATGGAGTCAGCCTCCACCACATTACTGCCTAATGCATTCCATTTACTAACTACTCTGACACTGAAAAAGTTCTTTCTAATGACTCTGTGGCACATTTGAGTACTCAGCTTCCACCTGTGTCCCCTTGTGCGTGTGCTACCCGTGTTAAATAATCCATCCTTGTCCACCCTGTCAATTCCCCTGAAAATTTTGTATGTGGTGATAATGTCTCCCCTAGCTCTTCTGTCTTCCAGCTCTAGGACCCCACCTTTCTAGCCGATCTATTTTTTATCTTTGTTATGTCTACTATATATATATTACTCTTTCACACACACACACACACACACACACACACACACACACACACACACACACACACACACACACACCACACACACACACACACACACACACACACAGGAAGCAGCCGGTGCAGCTGCCCCCGAGAGACGCCGGAGGGAAGGGTCAGTGATGCAGAAGTATTCTGAAGAAGTGATGCAGTGTCCAATGTTTTATTCAGCAGCTGCAGTACTCTGATATAAGGTGGCAGCTGTGTCGTGTGTAGCGCCGCCAGCACTACGGGCGGCCCCCTGGTCGTGTGGACGACGCCGTCAGCACTACGGGCGCCCCCTGGTCGTGTGGACGACGCCGTCAGCACTACGGGCGCCCCCTGGTCGTGTGGACGACGCCGTCAGCACTACGGGCGCCCCCTGGTCGTGTGGACGACGCCGTCAGCACTACGGGCGCCCCCTGGTCGTGTGGACGACGCCGTCAGCACTACGGGCGCCCCCTGGTCGTGTGGACGACGCCGTCAGCACTATGGGCGCCCCCTGGTCGTGTGGACGACGCCGTCAGCACTATGGGCGCCCCCTGGTCGTGTGGACGACGCCGTCAGCACTACGGGCGCCCCCCTGGTCGTGTGTAGCGCCGTCAGCACTACGGGCGCCCCCTGGTCGTGTGGACGACGCCGTCAGCACTACGGGCGGCCCCCTGGTCGTGTGGACGACGCCGTCAGCACTATGGGCGCCCCTGGTCGTGTGGACGACGCCGTCAGCACTACGGGCGCCCCCCTGGTCGTGTGTAGCGCCGTCAGCACTACGGGCGCCCCTGGTCTGGACGACGCCGTCAGTACGGGCGCCCCCTGGTCGTGTGGACGACGCCGTCAGCACTACGGGCGCCCCCTGGTCGTGTGGACGACGCCGTCAGCACTACGGGCGCCCCTGGTCGTGTGGACGACGCCGTCAGCACTACGGGCGCCCCTGGTCGTGTGGACGACGCCGTCAGCACTACGGGCGCCCCCTGGTCGTGTGGACGACGCCGTCAGCACTACGGGCGCCCCCTGGTCGTGTGGACGACGCCGTCAGCACTACGGGCGCCCCCTGGTCGTGTGGACGACGCCGTCAGCACTACGGGCGCCCCCTGGTCGTGTGGACGACGCCGTCAGCACTACGGGCGCCCCCTGGTCGTGTGGACGACGCCGTCAGCACTACGGGCGCCCCCTGGTCGTGTGGACGACGCCGTCAGCACTACGGGCGCCCCCTGGTCGTGTGGACGACGCCGTCAGCACTACGGGCGCCCCCTGGTCGTGTGGACGACGCCGTCAGCACTACGGGCGCCCCCTGGTCGTGTGGACGACGCCGTCAGCACTACGGGCGCCCCCTGGTCGTGTGGACGACGCCGTCAGCACTACGGGCGCCCCCTGGTCGTGTGGACGACGCCGTCAGCACTACGGGCGCCCCCTGGTCGTGTGGACGACGCCGTCAGCACTACGGGCGCCCCCTGGTCGTGTGGACGACGCCGTCAGCACTACGGGCGCCCCCCTGGTCGTGTGGACGACGCCGTCAGCACTACGGGCGCCCCCTGGTCGTGTGGACGACGCCGTCAGCACTACGGGCGCCCCCCTGGTCGTGTGGACGACGCCGTCAGCACTACGGGCGCCCCCTGGTCGTGTGGACGACGCCGTCAGCACTACGGGCGCCCCCTGGTCGTGTGGACGACGCCGTCAGCACTACGGGCGCCCCCCTGGTCGTGTGGACGACGCCGTCAGCACTACGGGCGCCCCCCTGGTCGTGTGGACGACGCCGTCAGCACTACGGGCGCCCCCTGGTCATGTGGACGACGCCGTCAGGACTACGGGCGCCCCCTGGTCGTGTGGACGACGCCGTCAGCACTACGGGCGCCCCCCTGGTCGTGTGGACGACGCCGTCAGCACTACGGGCGCCCCCTGGTCGTGTGGACGACGCCGTCAGCACTACGGGCGCCCCCCTGGTCGTGTGGACGACGCCGTCAGCACTACGGGCGCCCCCCTGGTCGTGTGGACGACGCCGTCAGCACTACGGGCGGCCCCCTGGTCGTGTGGACGACGCCGTCACGCCGTCAGCACTACGGGCGGCCCCCTGGTCGTGTGGACGACGCCGTCAGCACTACGGGCGGCCCCCTGGTCGTGTGGACGACGCCGTCAGCACTACGGGCGTCCCCCTGGTCGTGTGGACGACGCCGTCAGCACTACGGGCGGCCCCCTGGTCGTGTGGAGGTCGTGCGGACGACGCCGTCAGCACTACGGGCGCCCCCCTGGTCGTGTGGACGACGCCGTCAGCACTACGGGCGCCCCCCTGGTCGTGTGGACGACGCCGTCAGCACTACGGGCGGCCCCCTGGTCGTGCGGACGACGCCGTCAGCACTACGGGCGCCCCCCTGGTCGTGTGGACGACGCCGTCAGCACTACGGGCGCCCCCCTGGTCGTGTGGACGACGCCGTCAGCACTACGGGCGCCCCCTGGTCGTGTGGACGACGCCGTCAGCACTACGGGCGGCCCCCTGGTCGTGTGGACGACGCCGGAGTGCGTCGTTATCAAGGTGCTCTTGTTAATAATGAACTAGTGTCAAGCCTTGTACTTTGGGCCTCCTGGTGTTCTTGTGAGAACACAATGTGTTACTGTGGTGATATCATAGTTAACGTGAGTAGTAGAGGCAGTAGTGGCCACTCAAGCTACATTTCCTATGAAACAATAAGCACAAAACTGTGATGGGAACATGTGGTCATTATATTAGACACAAGTGCGTCGATCACGCTTCTCAGCGCAGGATATTCGGGCTTGTATACCATATACAGGCATTACAAAATACATTTTACATTACATTTTTACATTATAAATCAATCCTATTATTTTCTTACCGGAGATCTGATATCGGAATTCGTAATTACAATTTAATCAACGTGTTCGGTTCGAAAATTCAGTTCTAGTGTCATGTTTGTATGGAAGGGGTAATACTATTATTCTCTATGTCGGGGACAGGAAGCCTGCATGTAACGAGGTCCCCCTTAGGCCAACTACTGACCTTCTCCAGGATTTATTTTGAGACGATTATCTTGAGATGATTTCGGGGCTTTAGTGTCCCCGCGGCCCGGACCTCGAACAAGCCTCCACCCCCAGGAAGCAGCCCGTGACAGCTGACTAACACCCAGGTACCTATTTTACTGCTAGGTAACAGGGGCATAGGGTGAAAGAAACTGTCCATTGTTTCTCGCCGGCGCCCGGGATCGAACCCGGGACCACAGGATCACAAGTCCAGTGTGCTGTCCGCTCGGCCGACCGGCTCCCTGGTTGTGATGCAACCCACAACAGTTGTTGAACTCCGAGGTACCTATCTGAAGCTTGCTGTAGTGTGGTTTAAAAGTTCGAAACACTTGCATATTAAATGATTTGTTACGGTTTCAAACTGGAAAATCATGATTAATAAGACAATAAATATTTTAAAATAAAATATTTGTAAATAGATTCAGTGGTAAAAATGTATTAATAAAACTAGTTTTGGTACGCACGACCTTCATCACTGGAACCATCTGGGAGCTCCCAGCATTTCATTATTATTTAGAAACAAATATGCTGGATGAATCGTAGTGAGGTTGGTATTTATAGTGAGGTTGGCAGTTGGTTTCATGATGGGGGTGGGGCGAGGCGGGCGACCCCACCTATGACCATCCCCCAACACTTACCAGTCACCCTACAAAGTTTGATGGTGCCAGCCTAAAGCGTCTGGCCTCCAACATGAGACGGACATCGCTTTTTATAGACACGAGACCAAATTAAATTTAGCATAAACATTTATAATACTAATTTAAACATTCAAAAGTGTTAATGGTACATCATCTACGGGCTCACCATAGCCCGTGCTACTTGGGACTTTTTGTTCCAGGTAGCGAATCTTTAACAACAACATGTTAATGGTAATCGTTGGAGTAGTTGGGTAGTTGTCGTTGTTAGTATTGACTGGTAATAGTAGTAGCATTCTACTAGGCTTCTTTATAAGCATTTTGTTTAATCTTTTTCTCTACCAAGTCAATATTAACACTTTGTATTATAATTAGTAGTTTAACTGTCATCAGCTCTGTGTTTCCACCATCACTGATAGTGAACTGAGGACACGGAGAGTGTGGGTGATGACTGCAGGCTTCCTGGTCGTTCCTAGCACCACTGAGAGCCAAGTCACTCCTCCACCAACCACTGCCCTCATCCTGGCTGTGATCAATACAACCTCTTGGCTCACCCAACTTTTATCGATGACACATTGGTGGTGGGTGACTGTCATAGGCAGGTCGGGGTCGGCGGCCCCCATTGCCCCCCCCCCACCGTTTAATAAGAGTGCAACTATTGCATCTCCCAGCGACTCCTAACACTCAAATGAAGATTTTAGTTTTCCGTTGAGTGTTTCAACAGTTTTACAGCTGTTCGTCGCACACAACGTAACAAAAGCTATGTTACATTAAAGAAACATTAGTAAAAATAACGTTGTTGTTATGCTGTGTGTGTGTGTGTGTGTGTGTGTGTGTGTGTGTGTGTGTGTGTGTGTGTGTGTGTGTGTGTGTGTGCTGTGCGTATACTACATGTTCTGGGAGAGGGAGAGGGGAAGGGGGGGTGAGAAAAAGGGAGAGAGAGGGGAGAAGCAGGGAGGGAGGCAGAGAGAAAGTAAGATTGGGGGAGAGACGCTTGAGAGTGGGGGCATGAGGGAGAGGAAGTGAAGGTGGGAGAGAGAGAGACGGAAGGAGAGAGACAGAGAGAGAGTTCCTTATACTTATACGAGTCTTACCTAAGTGCTAAATAAAGTTTATTCCTAACTGCACATAGCATAGACTCATGAAATAAATAAGTCTCTAGGAGCAGGCTTCATATGAGCTGAGGTAAGATAACAGCTCTTGCTTACATCTTCACTAGGAACTTCAATAAACAACCCCTAATAAACTCAAGTCTTAGTTTAAAAAAAAATCAAGAAAATCAAGGCTATTGGTTTGAACATGTAGATAAAATATTATTTGTTTAGGTTCGTGTATGACTTCATCTCGTTTGGGTTAAAAATAAAATTGTAAGGAAATGAGCCAGGTGTGACGTCATCACCCGGGAGGTCAGCTGTGACGTCATCATTCAAGAGGTCAAGGTCTCCCAGGTTTATATGGAAACCTTATCGACTTTAACCCTGTTTACCCTTCCACTCTAGTTATTGATCCTCCTTGTTTTCCTTCCTAATTTATATTAGCCATTCTCCTCTCTCCTTATCTACATACTCTCGGTTATTCTTATTTTCCTGATAATCTTTATTCATTATAATTAATTATCATTCTACGCCCGTCTTTGTTGACACTGATTCTAAATGATTTTTTTTTCTACGGGACAATGGAAACAGGACGAGCACATGTTTAATAAACACGTGACTTGAATATGGATTTTCATTGGTTGGTCGCTGCCACTGTACCCTCACAGTCACTATACCTTCACACGCACTGTGTTCCCCTCATCACTATACCTCTACACGCACTGTGTTCCCCTCATCACTATACCTCTACACTATACCTCCACACGTACTGTGTTCCCCCTCATCACTATACCTCCACACTGTACCTCTACACGCACTGTATTTCCCCTCATCACTATACCTCTACACGTACTGTGTTCCCCTCATCACTATACCTCTACACGCACTGTATTCCCCCTCATCACTATACCTCCACACTGTACCTCTACACGTACTGTGTTCCCCCCTCATCCCTATACCTCTACACGTACTGTGTTCCCCTCATTACTATACCTCTACACGTACTGTGTTCCCCTCATCACTATACCTCTACACGCACTGTGTTCCCCTCATCCCTATACCTCTACACGTACTGTGTTCCCCTCATCCCTATACCTTTACACGTACTGTGTTCCCCCCTCATCACTATACCTCTACACGTACTGTGTTCCCCTCATCACTATACCTCTACACGTACTGTGTTCCCCTCATCACTATACCTCTACACGTACTGTGTTCCCCTCATCACTATACCTCTACACGCACTGTGTTCCCCTCATCACTATACCTCTACACGTACTGTGTTCCCCTCATCACTATACCTCTACACGTACTGTGTTCCCCTCATCACTATACCTCTACACGTACTGTGTTCCCCCTCATCACTATACCTCTACACGTACTGTGTTCCCCTCATCACTATACCTCTACACGTACTGTGTTCCCCTCATCACTATACCTCTACACGTACTGTGTTCCCCTCATCACTATACCTCTACACGTACTGTGTTCCCCTCATCACTATACCTCTACACGTACTGTGTTCCCCTCATCACTATACCTCTACACGTACTGTGTTCCCCTCATCACTATACCTCTACACGTACTGTGTTCCCCCTCATCACTATACCTCTACACGTACTGTGTTCCCCTCATCAATATACCTCTACACGTACTGTGTTCCCCTCATCACTATACCTCTACACGTACTGTGTTCCCCCTCATCACTATACCTCTACACGTACTGTGTTCCCCTCATCACTATACCTCTACACGTACTGTGTTCCCCTCATCACTATACCTCTACACGTACTGTGTTCCCCTCATCACTATACCTCTACACGTACTGTGTTCCCCCTCATCACTATACCTCTACACGTACTGTGTTCCCCTCATCAATATACCTCTACACGTACTGTGTTCCCCTCATCACTATACCTCTACACGTACTGTGTTCCCCCTCATCACTATACCTCTACACGTACTGTGTTCCCCCTCATCACTATACCTCTACACGTACTGTGTTCCCCCTCATCACTATACCTCTACACGTACTGTGTTCCCCTCATCACTATACCTCTACACGTACTGTGTTCCCCTCATCACTATACCTCTACACGTACTGTGTTCCCCTCATCACTATACCTCTACACGTACTGTGTTCCCCCTCATCACTATACCTCTACACGTACTGTGTTCCCTCATCAATATACCTCTACACGTACTGTGTTCCCCTCATCACTATACCTCTACACGTACTGTGTTCCCCCTCATCACTATACCTCTACACGTACTGTGTTCCCCCTCATCACTATACCTCTACACGTACTGTGTTCCCCTCATCACTATACCTCTACATGTACTGTGTTCCCCCTCATCACTATACCTCTACACTGTACCTCTACACGTACTGTGTTCCCCTCATCACTATACCTCTACACGTACTGTGTTCCCCCTCATCACTATACCTCTACATGCACTGTGTTCCCCCTCATCACTATTCCTCCACACGTACTGTGTTCCCCCCTCATCACTATACCTCTACACGTACTGTGTTCCCCTCATCACTATACCTCTACACGCACTGTGTTCCCCCTCATCACTATACCTCTACACGTACTGTGTTCCCCTCATCACTATACCTCCAGTGAAGACCAAAGGTAAACACTGTCCGGAGCGACGAACTCAGCGTTGCCACCTTGCAGCAAGTAGCAGCACTTAAGGAAATAAATTCAAAGGGGAGGCAAGTGTGACTAGGCTACTGATCAGAATAGAAACGTAGGGATAGGAAGGGAGGGCAATACAAGGGAGTGAGTAGGATAACAGGGGAGAGAATGAAACAGGTACTGTTCTACTGTGTTCCACACACATGGTCTCTGACTACTGTGTTCCACACACATGGTCTCTGACTACTGTGTTCCACACACATGGTCTCCGACAATTGAGCTCGGCATCCTCAACTTTAAGATCAAATTCGACAAAGAATTCGAGCATCAGGATAGTTTAAGATAACACAAAAAGTTAGAACAAGGCCAGTAGGCGGGGGTATAAGCCCCTCACTTCCCCATAGCCACCATTAGGTAAGTACTGACAGGACAGTACTTACCCAAATTCATCTTTCTCATGCACTTACTCACCATCTCCACCCTTCTTGACCTCTCTTCCTCCCTCCTCTTACCCTTAAAGTGACTCCATAACCCACACTAGCCTATCACCCATCACTGCTACTCACATTGTTCGCTTCTGCTCGAATGTTTTGTGTTTACACCTGAGTGGCTTCCACGCACTCGCTACCACTTCTCTCTCCTTTTCTTTGAAGCCGCATCATCCACTCCCTTATCTTACTATCAGCTTCACTTGCCACTGCCCCATCCCAGCGAGCAGTTGCTCTCAGCCGTCTACCAGCCTGCGTAACTCCAAACATTACTTGTATACACCACACATATCAGTGAAATTAATTTGTTCATAGTCTCTTGTTCAAATATCACTGTCAACTTGAATTTCGTTCTCGTTGAGCAGTTCTTTTACACTCTTTCTCGAAGTTTTAGATGTAAATCTTACTCTTACACGCCACTATCGTGTGATCTTACGAACGTCCAGATAGTCATCTTATTGCTTTCGTATCACAGAAACTTATCATCTGCACAAGCACTATTACAAATTTTATATAATAAGCGAATAAAATAAATTGTCGCTTATAATAATTATAGTGATATTGCAACTGGGCGAGGCAACTGGCTAGTTGATTAAGGCAGCGTCTGGGATGCTCTCGGATCCCAGACGAGGTTCGAATCCTCTTCACGGCCCTTGTGGATTTGTTCAACTGGCTAGTGCTTCCTCTATCACCCTGTTCTCACGACTATGGCACACAGTACAATGTCGATGTTCTAACCAATATAACACCCAGCCTAACGACGCTGGTGGCGTTTAGGCTTTGCGATCGTACGTATATGGGAGTTTAATGTCACATAATCGTGTCTATTGTCACGAGGTGCTTAGACCACCTACATCACACGAGGTGAGCAATCATGGTCTCGTTTACCTCAAGTTACGACATATCATGGGTTGTTTACTTTAATGAAAACTGTAAGATTACACACACACACACACACTCTCTCTCTCACACACACACACACACACACACACACACACACACACACACACACACACACACACACACACACACACACACACACACACATACACACACACACACATACATATGAGCATCACCACAGACACTTCAGAATGCATTGTTTATTTTCGTTTCCTCACGACCCGACTCACAACGCCGTTATGCACCGTTATTAAGAACAGCCTCATACGCCATCCTGGATGTTTAATGCCTGAAACCACTATGTACACACTGGGTTCGAACTTTATACAACTGTGTATCATATATAAATGTAGATACAATTCTTAGCAGCTAGAATATGCATCACATGGGCCAAGATACTGTCTAGAAAGTGTGTATCTAGTTTTACATCAAGTTCACTCTTCCTGGTAATCACAAAATACGCTGCAATTTTTCGCCTTATAATTTTCTTTTGAATAGAGATATCAAGTTAATAATGGAACTAAGCAAGGTTCCAAAACTGACGGGCTTTTGTTTCAGTCTTGTATTATTATCACTAATTAATATAACATTTTTACGCAGATAATACGCGGGTACGAAAATAGCACTAGGTATAATCTGCACCAAAGATGTCCTTATTTCCACTAGCAGGCAGGAAACAGTGATTCACTGGGTGGTGGTTGAGGTTCCGGCCGCGCGCCCATCGCCACAAGAACTGGGCAGAGGGTCCCTGGTTGACGGAGCAGCCACTATATACCTCTCACCTGACCCTAGCGGCCAAGAGGTGTACTATCCCTCTCACCTGACACTTCAAAATGCCACTGTTGCACTATTGGTTATAGGGCCTGGCTTCTTTCTTGCCTGTTATATCTATGTAATTATCAGTAAAACGAAGGAACATGTGCTGATTAATTTATTCTGAATTGTGAGTGTTTAATATCTCAAAGATAGTGAATATTCTGGTGGTGTTAAAATATACGACTGGCAACTCCACAAGGTTGGCTTTAATTGGACTGCCCTCTTATTTTCTTAATAACTCCCTCCCTGTCACGAAGACTACGAGTACGTGCCAAGGTCCAACTTAAGAACAGTGAAACACCTTATAATTGGTCTCAAATTTAGAAATAACAAATGGAATCCAACAACATTAGCTTTCATTTACTGTAAAACAAAAGAAAAAATATTGTTTTCGAAGAGAAGTTGCCTTTCTATATTCCGTTCGCTGTTATTCTGAGCTGTGTCAGGATTCAAACTGCGGGTAAAGTGAACTTAGGAGATATTTATGACGTTAACAGACACTACAGAGTTCTTTTCTCAGAAGGTCCCTTGCGCAATATTTTAAATCAGCCGATTATTTACTTGCTACAAGTTGATGGAAGAGTTGAGGGTAGTGAATGAAGCAGGCAGTGTTTATTGCGTGGTCTCCTAGCAACCCCTGTCTGCCTGCCGTTATTGCAGCGCCCCGCCCGCCATAATCCAGCACACCGCCCTAACTCTCCCTCGAGACCTCTACTTAACATGTCTTTTTATACCAGTTAATCCTTGACCAGTTAAAAAAAAAAAAACTGCCAACGACACTACAGAGAACGGGAAATTAAGACATAGCGGTAAGTGCGTTATACCTTAACTTTATTTGTTTATAAATATATTTTCTTAATATTATACTATTAATATGATTATATAACTGATAGCCTTATGAACAAATAGTGTAGTGTAGTGTGTGATAGCCTTATCTATATATTCCGTTAATGTTAATGATAATATTTGTATTAGTAGGCAATACAGTTATTTGTTTTACTGATATTTAAGAAAATTCAGAATCTATAGCTGAAGTCTAATTTTATGCTAATTATACAGGTACCGAGGTAGTATCTCGAGGGTTAACTGTTCCACCCACAGATGTGTTACTTTGACACACAAAACCTCTTCTGATTTAAGGGAGAGAGAAAGTTGCAGTGATGCAGCCGGCCGCAGTTCACCTAACCTACCCTAATACTAACTCTATCCTGACACTAAACTTTTCCCAACCTAATGATAATCTCTTAAGACAACGAATAGACATTGTGGTTAAGGGGGGCATGTCAGGTGTGTGTAGATAACGGGGGACAGGTCAGGTATATAGATAACGGGGGGTGGGGGTGGAAGGTCAGGTGTGTGGATAACGAGGGGCAGGTCAGGTATGTAGATAACGGGGGTGTGGCAGGTCAGGTGTGTAGATAACGGGGGGCAGGTCAGGTGTTTGGATAACGGGAGGGGCAGGTCAGGTATGTAAATAACAGGGGGGGGGGGCTGGTCAGGTGTGTGGATAATGGGGGTCAGGTCCCCCCATTATCCACACACCTGACCTGATACTAGAAATTTCGAATTCCTGGTGCCTATAAACTTTAAGCTTCCAGATTGCTGCTATGGTAATGGTTAAGAATAATTGAATGTATATCGTTTCCTAATGTTCTTGTGTTTATCACCTTCAATATTACTATAAATTGTTATCTCTACTTTTTTCTCAACCTTTCACCCAGTGAAAAAGAGGGTCGCTGCGAAGTTTATCAATGGCTGACTCTGAATATAATTTCCTAGGCAACATCACATTCAGGAAATAAAGATCGGGGGCGGGAAACACGCTCACAATTCCACGAGCAACGCTGTGCCAGGTACACAATGTTTAATATTTAATCATTGTGAAACATAATTATAAGCAATTGTGGAGTGCAATACTCTTTTCTACTCATAAATTAGATCGATCATGAAGTATTTGCATCTAATTTGGGATTTAGTTACACGGTTTTAGAAGTTATTGTGTATAGTATATAAGATACACAATATTTTTTTCAGTGTAAGGACTGCCTAGCCTAGCCAGTCACTAGGCTTGTCCGTGTTAGTAGCAAAGAAACTATTCTCAAAGATTTTACAAAACAATCCTAAATAACATGTCACAGTTCCTTGTCAAATAAATGCTGATGTCAAATAAATATAATCGTGGCATAAATCCCTGACAGGTAAATTAAATTATCAGAAAATCTCCATATCCACCCGTCTGGGTCTGCTGTTTCAACTTACGGACTAAAGCATATTCCAATCATAAATCCCAGCATTGACTGTGAATGTCCCAGTATTGCATGCATATTTTGAAGGGGATACAATCATAATTTGCATTAGGGAAAGTTGCAGTCCTGAACGTGGTTGTTCCATCATATTGTATCCAAAGCTCAATATTGTTTATTGTTTCACACGCGTCCGCCTCTTTCGTTCATTCACCAACCGCCACTCATCATCATTTTCTTCAGTTTGCTTTGTATATTGTTGAAAACAGAAGAAAAGTTGAGAGAGTGCAGGAGGGTGGAAATGTTTAAGGTGCTGGAGCTGTTGGTGAGGAAGAAGGGAATCAGAGGAGGTTAGTTTCCAGATATTGCAGCCTGTAGTGTCAAGTCAATTTACAGGCAACTCCTACGTTGGTGGTACAGGTCATCTTCAGCGTCTTTGGTGAAGTCGTGAAAGGTGGTGGTGGTGATAATTGCGGTGAGTGTTTTTTTTATGCAGGGATATTCCTGCGCGGGCCCTAAGCCTCTGGCTGGCCCACTAAGTGTTGCTTGTTTCTGTTTTCCTTGGGCGGAGTATGAGTATTTATGACTCGTAAGGTCGCTTCAGTAAGATTTTGACGCGGTGAGTGGTGGCTAGGGCGTCCAGTGGCCGATCAGTGGGGGGAGTGCGTCTAGTAGCCATCAGATTGATTGATTGATAAAGATAAAGCCACCCAAAAGGTGGCACGGGTATGAACAGCCCGTGTGGCCATCACAGAGAAGTACGTCTTGTAGCCGTGCCATTAGGCCATCAGGTGGGGAGTACGTCCATGAGCGAGCAGAGGGTTGGTACGGTGAGAGACAAGCACTGCTATGAAGGCAAGTAGGTGGGCAAGTGAGGTAAATATACCTGATGTTAGCACATTTAATTCAACAACACATGAAGTTGACACTACTTGTTACCTGGTCAATATTTCTGCATAACTCCTTTTGTGGACGACATGCCCAAATAACAATAATAAATGTAATGCTGATTCATATATCTGATTACAATTCTTTTTACTATGCTACATGTCAGTGAAGACAGCCAAAGAATAAAACGCTAAATATTATGTTAGTAATAACATTGATTAATTTATAAACTAAGCTTATTTTTTATGTACATCATAGATTTCGTATTAAAGCAAAATATTCAGCAAATTTGTTACTAGTTGTGTATGTGTATATATATATACATATACACATACATACAGTTGTGTATGTGTATACATACATATATATACACATACATACAGTTGTGTATGTATATATATATATATATATATATATATATATATATATATATATATATATATATATATATATATATATATATATATATATATATATATATAATCAGGTGTAATAGGCCTGTTATGTTGAACAGTGTCTTCTGTGTTGGCATCGTTATATTCCAGTCTTGTCCTTACTCTCATGGTGGGTAGAGTAAATAGTTCCGTGATTTGGTTCATGGTAGGTTGTTCCATTCTTATGCGAATTGCTTCATATATATATATATATATATATATATAAATATATATATATATATATATATATATATATATATATATATATATATATATATATATATATATATATATCTCAGACAAGTTCTTTCATAATATCTCTCACGACATCTGGCAAACAGACACCAAACCTGGACATTACCGTGATATATACCCCACCAGAGGACACCTCTCGCACGACATGCCTCAGTGCGCCTGGAACCATTGCTTTACTCATTACGTGCAACAAAACCAACAACTGATAACATGCATGTGAATGTGAGACTGATGACATGCCAGCGAGTTTGACGTTTCTTGATTACCGACCCTTGTTTTCTAGACAAATAATGTTTAAAGAGAGCAAACTTAATTTGTAGCTAATAACGCTTCGCCTGTAAAAGCTTCATCAAATCACACAGAGATACATGAGGCTAGTAATTACAGAGGGGAGGGAGGGAAATATTTAGAGGTCAGTCAACATTTATGGGATTAATTTATGGTATGGTACTAATTTATGGTATGGTATGGTATTAATTTATAAGTCAGTCATAGGTTTTAATTTTAGACAATGACGTAACAAAGCAGTTTCCCTCAGTTCCATTATTTGGTTTAGGGAATGTCTTGCCCAACACATAATACACGTTAATGTATACGAACCTTGAGGGGGCATCTCTTATATTAATGTTAGCAGCTGCAGCGGTCACTTTTGTCTTCAATCCCATTAATCAATCTGCAGTTTGCCATCTTTGAGTGATGTGTGAAATTATATCTGATTTTTTTTATAAACTTGTAAAGACAGATGTTTTGCGTAGTTTGATATGAATGTAGGAATATAATTTAGATATATGGAATTGCCTTGCTAGTGAGATTAAGGTTAAAGATCTCTGTATTAATGATTAGAGAATTATGTATTTTAAATTTGGGTGATTTACGCATATAGAGCGGGAAGAACGCAATTTATGCTCCAGGCAGTGCTGGGTGCAGCTAGTGAAGGCATCCACAACGCAATCGATGGTCATTTATTTTTTATGGCTTAGTTCTCTGCGTGTGTGTGTGTATGTACTGGAAGGAGAGAGAGAGAGAGAGAGAGAGAGAGAGAGAGAGAGAGAGAGAGAGAGAGAGAGAGAGAGAGAGAGAGAGAGAGAGAGAGAGAGAGAGAGAGAGAGAGAGAGAGAGAGAGAGAGAGGGGAGAAAGAGAGTGAGGGTGTTCTATAATCACTGTGCTTTAACCGTTCTTCAGGAAAGGAGCCACAGAGTACATCGATCACCTTCCCCCCCCCCCCATCAGACGGGCAGCGGGTTTATGGGAGGACAAAGGGTGGGGGGTTAGGGCGGTGAGGAAAGTCTCATAATGAGGGCCAGGTGTGAGGGAGGGCGGCAGTGATGACGGTGATTGGTACAAAATTATAATGGCAGCGGTTTTCGTAATGCAGATAATGGAAGAGTAACAGTACTGTAGGTATTTTGTGGCCACCATATTGACTGTAGTGGTGATGGTGTTGGTATTAGGAGAGGAAGAGCTAGTTGGGTGGACTCCTGTGTTTGACCACGCTGTTCTATTGCCGCTAATGGCAAATACACCTGTTGCTTGCTGCACCTGCCTCCTCTCATACCCCCTCCCCCCCCAAACACACATACACTCCTTTGTGAAGTGTATGCCTGTGTTTGAGGAGCACATATAATGCCTGTGAGGAGTGGGCCATGTTAGATGTGACTCCTGAGTGTCGTGACGAGCTTGGGGGGGGGGGGGGGGACTAAACCCAACGTCGCACAAGAGAGAAAACCAGGAGAACCGTGATCACCATAAGCCTTAACCCTTCTGCTACTTAAGATTTATATAAATTCCGGCGAAGGGATTAGCCTGGTTAAGCTTCCTAACTCTGGAAATGGTAAATCAATATACCAGATTTCTGCGCATGTTTTAAAAAATGAAATTGATGTGAGTGCTGTTCCGTCTATGATATTCTCTCTCCGCTGAAGGCCTTGTATGCCACAATCACTGAAACTCGACAAGACTAGTTCCTGTTAAATTGTGTGTCTAGTTTATAACGTGGTCGTGACACGGACCCACTGTGAAACTACACTACAGTACCATGGACCACTGTGAAGCTACACTACAGTACCATGGGCCACTGTGAAGCTACACTACAGTACCATGGGCCACTGTGAAGCTATACTACAGTACCATGGACCACTGTGAAACTACACTACAGTACCATGGACCACTGTGAAGCTACACTACAGTACCATGGACCACTGTGAAGCTACACTACAGTACCATGGACCTATGATAACGAAGCACTACGGACACCTACAACAACTAGGAATTGAAACTGATGACATTGAAAAACAAGTCAAAACCTGGCACCAAGACTCCGTAGGGTTGCCAGTGACTGTTTAGGAACGTTTACAGAAATATACTACCATGTTTTACATATTCTGACAGTGTTTCGCAAACGTACTGTACATACTGAAGAAAGTAGCGATGGATAGGGTTGAATGCTGGAGGCTAAGAGTCAGTAAACCGGATACTGAGCCGGATATCGGAACGGCACGACGCTGGATCAGTCTCTGAATGCAAAGAGAAAATGGAAGCTTCGGTCTGTTTGACTAGGATAGATCATTTGCTAATTTCTTTCAATGACCATAGAATATTTGCAGTTCATACATGTGTTGTGACGTAATGTTCTGTAGAAATACACAGAGAAGTACACTCTGCTTCTCAGTGTATATACACTGAACTCGCCTCCTGTTTTTCTACTTCCTGCAAACGACTAAAACGATATTGTGAAGGCAGCATTGATACAACCGTCGACTCAGTGTTGATGAACCGTGGTCCTGCCAGCAAGGCAAGGCTCTTCTCTCATCTGGTTGTCCAGACCACTACCGACCAGGTCGTCCAGACCACTACCGACCAGGTCGTCCAGACCACTACCGACCAGGTCGTCCAGACCACTACCGACCAAGTCGTCCAGAATACTAGTGACCAAGTCGTCCAGACCACTACCGACCAGGTCGTCCAGACCACTACCGACCAGGTCGTCCAGACCACTACCGACCAAGTCGTCCAGAATACTAGTGACCAGGTCGTCCAGACCACTACCGACCAGGTCGTCCAGACCACTACCGACCAGGTCATCCAGACCACTACCGACCAAGTCGTCCAGAATACTAGTGACCAGGTCGTCCAGACCACTACCGACCAGGTCGTCCAGAACACTACCGACCAGGTCGTCCAGACCACACTAGGCGAGCCACTCAGGTTACATTACCTGGAAATAAATGCTGCCTCTACTCAAGAGGACGAAAGTCGATGCAACTCTGCAGCACAACACCTGCACACCTGCAATCTATTGTGAATATTAATAGTCGCCCGAGGATGGTCTTCCAGGTAAGGGCAGGGGATAGGGAGGATAGTAGAGGGGGAGGAGGTTGATAGGAGGATGGTAGATGGAGGATGGTGGGAAGGAGGGTGGGAGGAAGGTGGGAAGTTGGTGGGGTGATATTATGGGGGAGGAGGTTGGTGGGGTGATGTTATGGGGGGGGGGTGGAAGGTGGGGAGGAATGTTGCTGGTGGGGTGGGATTGTTGGAGAAGGGGGGGATTAGAATAGAGGGGATGGTGGGTAAATAATGCCAACGTTTCTAAAAAATAATTGTTCACATTACTACTGTAGACGGAATGTACAAAACATGAACTGTTGCAACACAAAATGTTCACGATTTGTGATATAGGTTTTGTATGGGCTCAAGAACGAAAGCAATGGTCATACATAACATTTCCTAAGGTGCATTTATTCCTTAAATGTACATTTACATGTACATTTATGTACATTTACATTTATCTATGTACATTTAAGGTACATACTCATGTATGTACTATATCACGTCTAAGGTTGTGTATATAAGGCCTAGGATGACCTTTGGAGGATATGTTGTTATATTACATGGTATCCCTACAACACCCTCCTAGGGATAACGCATTTGATTGTTGATTGTTGCCGCCGAAGGCGGCTAGTTTATTGTGCACCCCATACTCATCCTGTGAGCGGTAGCGCAAAAGCATTACAGAGGGCACAAAAGGTCTTTATCAGACCTCATTTATATAACGCATTTATAATTTATCCTAACATTAAATTATAGTCTCTGTCCTTTGTTCTTGTTGCCTTTTTCAACATTTTCCACGCTCTGAATGATGTATGTGTAAACATGTGTTCGCCGCTTGTCCGTGGATATGTGCACTTAGCGTATTATATAGCGGAGGTCTCTGTAACCCTAAAGAGGTTGATAGGTTTTAAGCCCAACACCAAATTCAAAACGTGCTCTAGTCACCGTCTAGTGTATCGATTCTGACCCAAAGTCCATCAGGTCATCACCTTCAATATCACCTGATCCCGCGCAGGTGATATTGAAGGTCCCTTCAAGACCGCAGTCCATCCCATCACCTTCAAGACCATCTGTGTATCTATGTATTTACGTATGTAGCTTAGCCTAACATTTTAAAAGCACTACGATCACCTTCTGTGGTTCAATAAATCTCTGAACTGTATGTTTGACAAATCTTTCACCCTGTCCATGGAGGACAGAAGAAAATGTATATATGCTAGTTAGCATTGTAAATGTGTGGCCACGTCTGTGGTAGAAAATAATAATAATAATAAAAAAACCTTCAAGACCGTAGTTCATGCTTGTCACCTTAAAGACCACAGCCCGCAGCCATTGCCTTCAAGACCACACTCCACGGCCACTCCCTGAAGACCACAGTCCACCTCATCAGGAGAAAGCGCCAAGTCATTATGACTACATAGCCGATATTCAAGAAACAGCCCACTTGTTTGCTAGATACAATACAATGCCAAGAAAAGGAAAGCTGTCAATTGCTTCAGTACGTTCATTTTGTATTTGGGGAATACTTCAGATTCAGATACGAATATTTATGTTGGAATATCTCTACTAGAGTTTTGAATCAAGTCAGCGATACACCTACACTGAATACAGAGCTTGGCGAGTATTATGTCCATTTCAGTGATCCAGTTTTGAATGTCGGCTCCATCAGGACACTTTTATTCAAATTCAAATTAGACAAATTTGTGGATTAAGCATTTAAAAAAATGAATGCTGATGTAATTACGAGAAATGTTTTTATAAGTGTAATTATTATGAAAAATATATAATTAGTGTGTGTGTATGTGATTAATAACATCGATTGAGAAAAACAAACTATATAGGTTAAAATACAAAATTTCGGCCCTAGATACATATATTGGACGTTATCGCCAGCTAAATTTAGAGCAATATCTAAAGGTCATCTGTTGACACAATATTTTGCATCACATGATATCCAGAAAATGTTTGTCAGACAAAATTTACCAAACACCAAGACCTAATGGGATTAACAAAATATATAATAATGACAAATAAAATTGACTCTTAAATTCAACTTTGGATACATCTTACCGGAGACAGTACTAAAGTTCTGACTGTGTGTGAAGTAAAATATTTGAATGAACCCTTTCTATGACCATATGAATAAATCAAGTATATATTATTTGATCATACGCTGAGCAAATGATGAGTGAAGGGTTCATCCAGTCTGTCACCCGGGCCAGGAATTAGGTAGCCTCACTCGTTTGTATCTCTTGCCCAGCCTCCTAAAATGAAAGTACTTACAGTAACTATTTTAGTCGAAAGTAACAAGATGTAGTGATGGACCACCAGAAAGTTGGCTGTTGTATTATAGAACTATGACAAACAAGAAACTTTTTTTAACTGCAGCATAAATATAAAACCTAACCTTACCTCTCCTAGCAATACTAGGCCTAATAACCGCTGCCTTAGACCTAATATATACTAAATATATGTACTATACTAGGTCTAGGAATATTTTAGTTTGGTTTTTTAGCTTTATTTTTTCCTGGCTATAAAACTTATAAAAAAGTAGTTTACTGGCGGTCCATCACTACATATTGGTACTTGGGACCAAATGGTTACTATAAATACTATCAATTTAGGAGGATGAGCTGGTATCTCAGTCCATCAATGTCCCACGTGCAACTATTCCTCACTCAGAACATTGCTTCTCTGTCTTCGTGATACATTTCCCTTAGAATACCGTATATCGTTATCATGACTCCCGCGTTCCTTGTTTCGTCTAGTATAATGACATTTCCCTCGGAGTTCCTTCACAGCTCTACTTTGTTAGTTCAAGAACGATCCTTGGTGCATATCTTTTTTACTTTCTAGTTTCCTTTGTATTTCTTTCGGTGGGGAGGGATGTCATCTTGAGATGATTTCGGGGCTTTAGTGTCCCCGCGGCCCGGTCCTCGACTAGGCCTCCACCCCCAGGAAGCAGCCCGTGACAGCTAACTCAACCTGTCCTCTTAAAAATAACGTCGCTTTTGGCCGTTTGCCTGTATGGGCGAATATGGACGTAATTTGAAAATGAAAATATATTTGGGATTTTTTTTTTAGAAACCGTAAGTTAAGGGTCCTCTGATAGGTTAGGTGGGCAGGAAATTCTCATAAAGTTTCAAAACGGTATGAAAAACGTTAATGGAAAGTTTCCTCTTCTAAGCTTGCCGAGTAAGCCGGACGACTCAAACAGAAAACGGAACAGAACGTCACTTTTGTGAGTCGATTTCATTTCAAATTACGTCCAAATTTGGCCGTAGCGCGCATACGAGCGAAAAGTGACGTTCTTTTTAAGAGGACGGGTTGAACTAACACCCAGGTACCTATTTTACTGCTAGGTAACAGGGGCACAGGGTGAAAGAAACTCTGCCCATTGTTTTTCGCCGGCGCCTGGGATCGAACCCGGGACCACAGGATCACAAGTCCAGTGTGCTGTCCGCTCAGCCTACCGGCTCCCTACCGGCTCGGCCTACCGGCCTCCGTCATGCTTGTGCTGCATACTCAATACAATGTCTCGCGTAGGTTCCTGTATTTAGCCTTTCAAGAAGATTTCTTAGTATCTCCACTGTGACTGTTATCATGACCAAGCATTCCTTAAGCCGACCACCGCCACGTGAAACATCAGCCTCAGCTTCTCTTGTTACTTAATTCCCGTTGCCGGGTAAAGGAAGCGTGTGCTTAGGTTTATCTAGGTCACCCCTAGGTCCCTTTGGGCATGCTACTGACCTTCCCTGGGATGCAACCTACATCAATTGCCTAACCCCTCGGTACCTATTGTACTACTAGATGAACAGATGCATCAGATGAAAGGAAACGTGCCCAACCGTTTCTGTCCTGCTCCGGGAGTGAATCGGGGTGTCTTAGTTGTGAGCCAAGGACGTAGACTACTGAGCTACAGAACCCTGTCACCCCCAAAAGGATAGATACAATTATTTTTGACAGGTTAAATTGACACCGTTCCTCTAATTTAACCATTATTACATTGAGGGCTGGTAAAAACGTGATTAATTATTGCCCCCCCAACCCATCTCTCTTTGTGTTCCGGATGTGAAATGTACATTGTTAGGGGAGAAGGAAAGGGAGCGGACAGGAAGGGAGAGGAGAGGTGAGGCGGGGGAGGGGGGACGAGATGAGTGGCGGGATATGGGAATAGGAATTTGGTGAGTAACAGAGATATGGGAAGAGGAACTTGGTCAGTGGAAGGGTAATGAAAGTGGTACTAGGTGAGTAAATGGATAATTGAAGTGGATCTAGGTGAGTGAATGAATAAGTAAGGTAGGTTTATGATAATGGACCAGCGAGAAAATGTGGTATTATGTGTTAGTACTGAATGTAGTAGTAGTACTGTATGTGGTAGTATGTAGTAGTACTGTATGTGGTAGTATGTAGTAGTAATGTATGTGGTAGTATGTAGTAATACTGTATGTGGTAGTATGTAGTAATACTGTATGTGGGAGTATGCAGTAGTACTCTATGTAGCAGTATATAGTAGTACTATATGTGTCAGTATGTAGTAGTACTGTTGTGTATGTATTAGTACTGCATGTAGCAACCTATGTTCTATATTACCAACATCTGGGACAGGTATCTGTTAGGCTTACTGACGTCTCCCTAGACCAAAGGTGTCCTTCCTCTGGATGTACCCACAACAGTTGACTAACTCCGTGATACTTACTGCCAATTATTTAACTGTTAATATCATCTAAAATTACGAATCACATTGAGGATGGGTCTATAGCCGATTTTCTTAGGAAGCACGGGGGGTGGGTGGCTGTACTGGGAGCGAACTGATCCTAGCGGTACACTTCCTTTAAGTATGGACTGTAGCCTAACACAGGCAGCTAGCCTGCTCAACCCCCCCCCCCCCCACGCACACATTTTATATATATATATATATATATATATATATATATATATATATATATATATATATATATATATATATATATA